TTTAACGAAAAGTCTGCGGTACTGTTCACTTTAACGAAAAACCACATTTTTACACTAAAAAGTCAAACCTGATACTATTCATTTTACCCTTTATTTTATCTTTATCATTAAAACTCAAAATTTTCAAGTAATTTTCATTAGTTTTCCTTTCATTCTAATGTATGTCGTCGACTAAACAAGAAACACTGCAAATTGTTTCAATTTGATGATTAAGAAATGAAAAGATTCAACATTCAAGGGATTTCTGACTAAAAAGAGGAGAAATTCAACATTCAACATTCAAAATGGTGATCCCACAGTCCACGATTGTCAAATGATGTTTCCATGATCCCTGCATATCATATCGACAGTCAAAACCCCCTGAACAAACATTATGACTTGTGGTCCAAGAAACTAAACATTAGGCCATCTTCAACCGAAGGGTCCAGATGGCCGAAAATAGCCCGAAAATAGTCTCTAACAAAGGGCTAGGCCAAAGGCCTCGTGAGCCCCACTGGACAAAAAAGGGGCAAAGGGCCAACCGGCCGGCCCAACCTAGCCACCCAGCCAACCCTGGGCCGGGCCACAATTTGAATGCAATGGTAACTAGCTCACGTCAGCTAGCCGTTATTTTTGAATTTAAAAAAAAATTAAAAATTCTATTTTTTTTCCTATAACTTCCTAAGCCATTAAACAATATTAAATAACATTAAGTAACATGAAACAACATTAAACAACATTAAAAAATATTAAACAACATTAAATAACATTAAACAACATAAAAAAAACATTTAACAACATGAAACTTAAACAAAATTTAAAAAAACAAATATTAAAAAATTCTCATTTTTTCCTATAAATTTAAGTTGTTGTAGTTTTTAAATTTAAGTTGTTATAGTTTTTAAATTTAAGTTGGTGTAGTTTTTAAATTTAAATAATAAATTATGTTTGACTCTATGGCCCTTGGTTGGAGATGGTAAGAAATATGGCCGCACTGTTGGAGGGCCGGTTGGAGATGGCCTTATAACCTGTGGTTCAAGAAACTAAACATTATGACCTTGAACAAGTTTCAACTAAGAACTTCTAAACGAGTTTGAAAACAAGTTCGAAGTTGAACTTGCAAAAAATAATCAAATCCTGAAATCAAAAACCCAATCTAAGAGAGTGGAAGGTGGGCAAACAGAGAACAAAAAACAACTAATTTACAGCACCACGGCCGCTCTTTAAGGATGTCGAAAGAAGCTCTAGCTAGCTAGCTTGGCACCAGGATCCACTGAAAGTATGCTGCTCATGTATGAAGGATGAATGTGCACAAGGTTGTTCATGTAAGGAATATACCTTACATATCCATCAACATCAGTCCCGTCACCACTTCTTAGAATTTTAGCCTTCCCTTTCTTAAGAATATAAGCATGCAGTCTCTTTCCAAAATCGAATATCATTACCTCATTGTTCACGCAAGACAATGCCGTCAACTCCTTGTTAAAATTGTTGAAAGACTCAAGACCAAGAACAATCATATGCTTCAGACTCATGTCCTGGTCACTATAGATGTCCAGGGTGTTTGCGTACTCTTCGTTGCGAGTCAGAAGGTAACACAACTCACCATTCATCTCTGTCAATACAAAGTGATAGAATACCATCATGCTCGTCATTCAAATCAAAAGCCAAAGCCGCTCCAGCAGAAGTTTCCCAAAAGGCTACACCATTCAGAAAGAGCCCGTCGTCATTCAACTTCGGAGCATCCAGCTCACAGCATTCTGCGTCAGCAAGTTTCCGTGAGGATGAGTAGATCTCGAAACAGATAAACGGATGGTCAGTTAGAGAGAAAGCGCAAACAAGTTGTAATTGTTATGCAAAATTAAGCGCATAAGGCTCAAAGGCTAGACCTATGAGAGGTTAAGGGTCGTGAAAGAAGTTTGACCTGGGAAGCGTTCTCCATTCCTTGGTAGCGGGGTTGCAAATGTAGTAGGTGTTCTCTCCATCACAACTTTGGCAGCAAGGCAGACCATTGCAAATGGTTCTGACAGTGACTTGTTCAGGCAAGAAGCTGAGGAAATGACTGGGAACGCCATAATCACGGTTAAGAGATACAAAGAAAGGCTTGTCGCCAGGGAGTTGACAAAAGAGACCAGAGATGTCGCGGAAATGGTAAGCATGCTTGTCCATCAGTGCATTAAGAAAAGACTGGTAATCAGGTCATCCCACTCTTTTCTAACAGCTCTAAATCGGGAGAGTGTTTTTGCGGGGAGGAATGGAAGAACATGCTCCGTAACATCTTTGATCTCCACAGTATGCTTGAGCCTTTTGTGTCCAGGATATTCCCAAGCTTCATGTACAAGAGCAATCATTTTGTTGCGATATCTAGATATAACGCATTAGAAAGATGCCTAAATAGATAAAAGTTGAACAATGGCAAAGCCTGTTCATCATTAAACCAAGCAAGTGAGGAAAATGAAATCCACCTGCAGATTGCTTAAGTTTGCTGCAACCTACAGAAAAACAGAATTTCTTCTTCCCTTCTAATTTTTGTAGATTAGTATAAAAACCCCGTCAACTATAAGTTTATGAAAGGAAAAGCCGATTACTGCTCAAAGAAAAAATTAACATAATAGTAAGAGTATTAAGAGAAGACTAGGCAGACAAAATGGTATAAAGTTTATCAGAACCTCAACTCTGCTATCGAAACTATGCAAAGTTATCAATACTAAAAAAATAGCATCACCAGAAGCTGAAACGAAAATCTGCTAATGTCACGCCCCGAACCCGGAGTCGGTAATAAAAACTCGAACCCGAATCCGAAATGTGAGTTAAAAGTAAAAATAAATAAAAGGAAATTGACACAGGTTGGAAAAATAAACTCCTCTTATTAAAATAACTCCAAAATCCTTACAGGGTGTACAAAAATAATAAATTAAAACTCTTAAACTTCTCCTCAATCACAACCCCAACTCTTCTAACTGTCTTGCCAAATAACATCTATCTTGCCAAATAACTTATCTGTAAAATAATAGGTGAGGGGTGAGCAACAACCACCGTCGCTCAGTGAGTAGAATATGTAATATGTCAGTCAAGCAATTCATTTTTACACACACTAGAAAATACAATAATAATATCAAAGCTTTAACGTAATTTCATATCACATCATCCCTTTACGTGTTCATTACATCCTTCATAAATTGTAACTCACCACGTGACGCCTACTAGCCTTTCCGCCCTAATGTTGCCGTGTGCAGTTTACATTTATCCATCGGATTAATGCAACACTAAAGTTCTCATGCTCCATGAACATATCCAAATAATCCACATATCACCATATTAATGATTCCAAAGGTATTTCAACAAATCCAACATGCTTGACTTAAAATAGATAGAGATTTATAAATGGGAACTTTAATGAAAAGCTCCCGGTACTGTTCACTTTAATGAAAAACCACATTTTTACACTAAAAAGTCAATCCTGGTACTATTCACTTTACCCTTTATTTTGTCCTTATCATTAAAACTCAAAGTTTTCAAGCCATTTTCATTAGTTTTCCTTTTATAAATAGATAAAACCGATGATAGTTCGTGGTTTTCATTTATCAGAAAATAAGAATATTTTAAAACACATTACATAAACCACTCACCTCAATAATCCAAGCTTTGGCAAGACAACACAACTAACATCTCTGCACACCTCAAACTAACTTTCCCTTTTTCTTTTCTTTCTAAGCTCTTGCTCTAACGTATATATAATATATACGCACAGCACACATATATACAAGTATGTATGTATGTATATATATATACACACACACCAATCTCTACGTAATGCATGCTCTGCATGTTTCCTTATTTTTATGCTCCAAAACAATGGAGCAAAGCTCCTATTTATAGTGAAATAGAACGGCTCCAAGACTTGAGGTCCAAGGAAAATATACAACAAAATATATGAAGTCCTATCCGTAAACTCCTATGTGTGTATGAAGTTAATACTTTTCTTACCTATTGTAGTATCAAGATCTTAGTCACTAGTTATGCAAGGTGTCAATTGCATGTGTGCAAAGGATGACACGTCCAAGTAAATAGTCTTGTAAAATCAGCACACTAGAGTGCTTACTAATCACCCATTTCTCTCTCCCAAGATAATTAAGACTAGTACTGATAGGAGCTAGGCACGTGGTATATAATAATAATAACAAATATTTACTTTTAAAATACGGGATCTTACAACTAAAGATAATTTAAACATCTGGTCACATGAAGAATTACAGAACCTATATTCAATTTGTTCTGCAAGAACGAAGTTTTATAATTGTATTCTAATGAGAACACATCGAAATGAAGCGTAGACAACCGTTCAGCGTAATTCTTATGAAGCGGTAGAAAACTGAAGCAAATGTACAAGCTCCAAATTAATGTAATCTATTAAACATGAATGTTCTAAAAATAAAAACAATTAATCAACCGCGTCGTAGCCGCAGCCAACCTCAACTTTCACCACATGATTAGGAGATGGATCATGCATAAACTCTTCTTGTCCACATTCATCAAAAAGTTCAACTTCTCCGGAACTATCAGAATTGCATTTATCGATGATGACAAACCCCTCATTGTCCTCAGAAGTCACCATTTCCGCAAAAACAAAATGTTGGTCAAAACAATCACGTTTTAAAGAATTCAACTAGGGTTTCTGGAGAAACCCATCACCCCTCTTTGAAGAAACCCAAAACCCATTAAAGGAAAGATGTGGGTTTCTGGGTAAAAATTGATCATTTTTTCGAAAATTAAATTTAAACCCAAAACACAATCAGACCCATTTTTCTTGCATTTTCCTTACTTTCTTAGTAACTAAGGAGATGTATTTAATTGAGATTTTGAAGAATTTTAATGAATCTAAGGGCCATTCAATCAGGATTTTAAGCGATTATTTGATATTCAAGGTATATCAATCAAGATTTTAAGATAGTTTATTAAAATCTTTATAGATCTGAGTGTATTTAATTATGATTCTAAAAAAGTTTATAATATTCCAGATGTATTCAATTAGAAATTGATTTTAAAGAATTAGTTCTCAACCTGCACAGCATTTTCGCAGGGAGGAAAGGAAGAACATTCTCCATTGCAACATCACTGATGTCCATTTTCTTATTATAAAGCTTTTCGTCATGGGGAACTTCAAAACAATCATGTGCACGACCGACTCTTTTGCATGGATATGTGAAACTGCATATAAAGATAATCATTAGGATGCACGTCAGAGAAAAAAAATTAAAGATAACATTTAATCACATGAACAATGCCAACGCCTCCAATTCATCGTCAAAACAACGTAAAAAGGGGGAAATAAATTATCGTCAGCTTGCTTAATTTAGTTACACACGCAGTAGCCAATAATGCTTACCAAGGAGAAAACCAACCGTTTGGATTCCAAGCTTTCAGACAGCAAAAATTAAATATGTAGATATTGTAATATCATATACAAAATCATTTAATCAAAACAGCATGAGAGTAATATAAAATAAATGAAAACATATCCCATAAATAATACAGCAACACCAAACCTTAGAGCTGTCGACAATTGCATACCTCACAAGAACAATGCCTCATCTTCAACTGTTTCCCAGGGAGTACAGTATCCATGTAATGTTGATTATCCATAATCTTCAACTGTTTTCTGAATCCATCAGATGGTTCTTCTACACAATCAGTACTCATATATCTTTCATTATCCACATTCTTCAACTGCTGTTCGCTTTCGTCAAATAGATAGACTTCAGAATCGGTACTCAGATAACTATCATTATCCACTTCCTTCAAATGTTGTTCGCTTTCATCAGATAGAACTTCTTCAGAATAAGTGCTCTCACCACAATCAGAGTCAGAACACACATATGCGTCCTTTTCCACATTCTTTGATTGTTGTGTGCTTCCAACAAATAGTTCTTCTCCCGAATCGGTAGCCACATTGTTTTTAGGACTCACAATGACATAATTTTCGGAATCAGTACCCACGACACTTTCAGAATCACTGCACACAGAATTGGCATTGCTCACAATGACAAAAGAGTCGGAGTCATTGCCAACATCTTTATCGCTATCCATGATAGGATCCTCAAAGCTCACAGCTGCACAGTGAAAAATCATTCAATGCAGATGACTGAATTTCCCAAACATCAAGACATATAAAAAATCACAACTTTCAAACGAGGAAAACAATGCAACCTTATTTGTACCTCGAAACGATTTTGCTGTCAACAGGCTTTTGGCATGAGAAGTTTGGCTTCAGACAAAGGAAGAACTATTCACACAGCAGCTAGTTTAAACCCTAGTATCCAATTATGGTTGCTTGGCACAAAAGAAACCAAACAAAGTTTTACAAAATCAGATCATAATAAAAAACCCCAAAGTCCATTTTCGACATATTAATTCACAAAATTTGAACATTTTTAAATCATTCAATGCAGATAACTGAATTCCCCAAACATCTCAACCTATGAAAAATCACGAAACTAGCTTAAACTTTAGAACGAATTCGATGCCAAATACAACCTTTCGGAATAAGAATTTTGATTTCAGACAAACGAACAACTGTTCATACAGTAGCTAGATTAAACCCTGGTATTCAATTATGGTTGCTTGGCACAAAAGAAAGCCAACCAAATATACACTATCAGATCACAACAAACCCCCCCAAGCCTTCGTTTGATTGCTTCAATTAGGTGTTCTGATATCTTAATTAACTAAATTTAAACATGGGTTTTGCAAAATGGAGAAAAGTAGCAAAACCCCATAAAGAATAAATCTTTTTTTTTTTTTAATTCTTTTTCTTTTCAAAAATCAAATCCAAAATCCAAGATACAATGGCTTCAAATCCCAGTTTTCCTTCAATTTCTCTGGGTTTCTCAGTAACCAAACAAATCAAAAAGGGTAAATAACAACAAGAAAATTGAACAAAGAAACAGAGAGCTTACTATTTAAACAAGAAACCCAGAACAAACAGATACGAACGAACCCATCAACGATCAATCAAAACTATTAAACAGAGGCAGATCAACGATCAGAAATGATAGGAAAAACCCCAGAAAAACCCCACTCATGCACGTCCTGAAAGATTCAATATTCACCAGAAAACACATATAAAATCTATAAAAAAACAGACAAGTTTCTCATTCTAAAAATTGAAGAGGTAAAGAATGAAGTGTACCGATAAGCTTACCGTGACTGCCGTCGTAGGCCTGCGAAGCATACCGGCGATCGAAAGGCTTCGTCGAAGTAGAGAGAGACTCAGAGCATGATAAAAACAGAAAAGTCCATACAGAGTGGGAGGTCGTGGGACAAAGATTCTCTTTATTTTCTTGGTCGTAATTAAATCCCGTTAATATTTTTATAAAAAATATAAAAAAGAGAAACGCGAAAAAAAAAAGAGCGGAAGATATTTAATGGAGGGAGAATTCTACTTCGAGGTGGTATAAGCTTCATTTGAAGAAATTTTTAATTGTGATGTAAGTGGTAAAAAAAATTTATTTTATAAGTTATTAACTTTTTAACATACATATTTCACAATTTATATAGCGATATGTGATTTACCACTTCGTGTGACGGTCACATTGAAAAATCTTCCTCCCTCTGATGCCAATTGTTTGCATCGACTCTTCCGGTGACACATGTACGACTAAGATTGGCCTTCACCGGAGGAAAAGTTGTGGCGAGATCAATAGGTTGCTTAAGCTTTAAGTTTGAAAGATATGTAAATTGTAAATTGGCAACCCTTGGATTTTATTCAGCATCATCTCCTACTGTTGTTGCTGTTTAATACGCAGTCAAACTCTAATAGATAATTACTGGCTTTTTTTTCACCAATATTCCCGCTGTCTAATCTTTAGGAAGTTAACTCAATTAGTGTTTGATTCACAAAAATTTTACAATATAACATGTACCGAATAAATAGAACGTTGAATGTGCAGTACATTTTGAAGATTACATTCCAAATTCTCGAAAATATCATTTAAAAAAAATTGGATAAAAAGCAAGAAAAATTTCATAATGTATCAACTCAAATCCAAGAAGCTTCCAATCTACTTTCATATGTTTTGGCTAAAAAAACACAGCTAATTAGAAATAAGCAGTTCACGAATTATTGACCAAAAGAAAAGCATATTTACTATTTAGTTCAAAACAAAACCACCCAACTTCTTCATGCCTTGCACACCAGCTAGAGCTCCACAAGACTGTTCACGTGAGAAACAAGCCTCCCACTCGAATTAAGTTCATCACAAACACATTGAATTTCTTTAGTCTTGATGTCGTAAACGTGCATTTTTCCGCCACCCCGAAACATGATCACATTTCCACTGCCAAACACTACACTACGAGACTTTAGACCATAACCGGTTCCAGATGACATCGGAGCGGGCAGTTTGATCTGATGTTTCATTACCCATGGCTCGACATTGCTGCCCATCGCCATTGTGTTTGTGTACGCATTACACAACGTTCGTACAACTAGTGTGGGAGGTTGAGAAAACGTAGAACAAAGCTTTCCATCCATCATACCAAGGGTCCCATATCCTCTGTTAAGTTGTTGCGCACGCTCCATCTTCAGGTCAAAAACAAGAATCTGACCATTCAATGCCAGCCAATAAACTATGTCGTTCACATGAACACCGGATCTTGGCAAGAGAGTGCTCTTGCCGAAGAAAATCTCACCGGAAACCCTCCAAGACTCCTCCCTAGAGGAATAAATCTCGAATTCATATCCATTGTCGAAATCAACTGATGGAAAAGCACACACGAGCTTGTACTCGGCCACAAAATTGAGCAGAGAAGGTTCAAAGATGAGAACAATAGCAGGGTCATGTCCGTGATCCGCGTTTGGCTTGGGAAGTTTTGTCCACTTCCTTGTAACAGGATTGCAAATGTAGTAAGCCTTATAGCCATCACGTCCCTGGCAGCAAAGTAATCCATTCGAAGAAGCTCGTATGTCAACTGGCTCAGGCAAGAACTTCAGAGATGGGTCTGGAACACCATATGCATTCGGATTGATAGAGATGAATGAAGGAGGGCCTGCATTGGATTGATAAAAGAATCCCGATATTCCACGAAAACTATTTGACTGCTTGTGGGCAAAGAAAGGAGTTTTGATATCGAGCTTCCAGTCCCTACAAACTCCAGTGAACCTGAGAAGTGATTTAGCAGGTAGAAACTCGAGGGCATGGTTCTTAATGATGTCCTTGAGGTCCATGTATAGAATACTGTTTTTGTTTGCAAGTAACTTATTTGTTCTCCTTTCTTGATCCATCACACTCTCAACTAAATCTTCTTCTCCTTCAAGTGCAATCAATCTTCAAAAGTAAGAAAACCGTTAAGATTAGAGGTTAACCACGGTAAACTGACATTAAAAATCACAAGCAAAGCCATTTGAGACAAAGATGGGCTGAATGCTACATCGTTGATTTCTCTTGTCACGCATTTATACGATCTTTCTCTTTTGCCTAATACTTCTTAAACATCATAATTAAGTCAAAGGTAATCCATATTTGGCAGAAACCAAACACAAATTCGATTTTCATAGATAAAACCCTAGCTTCACGTAACTCATAAGTTCATACAAAATTTCCGAATACTAAAGCCGACGAAATTGATCGGTTCCCTCTTAATACCAAAAACAATCCTCAATCACTATTCTATTCTGCACATTCTTTTAATCAAAATAAAAACACAATCAACTTGCCCTAATTATATAGAGCCCTAACCCAAGTATTTTAATTTCCTAACTATTTACTTTTATTGACTGAAAGTACTTGAATCTTGACTAGTAAGGATGAGATATCTTTACAACATCACGGTACCCTCCATTTTGCTTAAGTAAAGGGACCCGAGGCAAGTAAGGTAAGCGGTTTGATCTAGGGACTATTGACACATTGTGTGGCTTCACTCAAATTTCCACACTTTACGCAATAACATGCCAAATAATATTGTAACACATGTTATCTTGTTTTAAATTAATTGGTTATTTGAATGTATACCAAAATAAATTGATTATTTGAACCAGACATTGAACAAATATCAAAATAACTAATACAAAATATTGATCAAAAAAGGAATACGAACTAATCTTAAATTTCAGGTAGATGGGCCGAGGGCCCACTCCAACAACACCGATACAGTCCCCACTTGGCCACCTGCTCAATCCGTTAGGTATGAGGTTTTATCAATAAAGGTCTTGGTTTTAGTTAGAGTAAGGTAATTCTATATAAAAGGCTTGTTCTCGAGCCCTCTGGCCGATGTGGAACTGAGGAATTCCAACAAACACCACCAACAGAATAAGCTTTACCAACAGAATCGAATATTGTTTTACGTAATTTAGGATTGCACACCTTATCGTTTTCTCTAGAACTTAAATAACAAGAAGAATTGAGAACACATAGAATCTGAAAATAAATCTTTTATTCCTTTTAGCCTAAATCTTTCTAGCCAACCAAACAGACGATAACAGAAAGTCAGAAACGAAAATATCCAGAGTTACGGTACACCATGAAGAGACATGCAGTGAAAATCAAACCAAAAACCCTAAATAATTTCCGTTACAAACACGAAGCATACAAAATCCATGCAGACGTTTGTAGAGAGTTAATCATGATTAACAACGTTGATTAACCGATTACATAGAGGATTAAAGGAATTCAAAGTGAGTGAGAAGGGGATCGTACCAATCGGATTGCGTGGTTCATCAAATCGTCGAACTGAGTTACTGAAGAGAGGGGGTGTCGTGTTTTTGCACTCCGCTGGGGGTTTCCGAGTTTGTGTTCAAGTAGGACTCTGCAGTCACTGTATGCTGTTTCTACTTCGGAAAATATGAGTATTATTTAGTTTCCGAAAATTAGAGGCCATGAAAATTGGAGGCCCAAAAGGAATTTTCCTTTTTAACTTTAAGAAATTTTTTTTTAATTATCTCCAGTAAATCGAAAAAGTTAAAAATTAAAAGTTAAAGTATTATGACGCTAAATTTATTATCTCCAATGAATCTAAGAAGTTAAAAGTTAAAAATGAGACATGACTCTAAATTTGACTTATTCCGTCTTTAATGTACTAGAAAAATTGATGTTATATATAACTTTGTTGCTATATACAATTATAAAGAGTTCTGCTAGACCATTGTCCTATTTTTTTTAACCTATATTATAATCTCACGCACTACGAAAATTTGAACAATTAAAATGCTATTTCCTAACCCACTAATATTCCTAAAATAATCTTTAATATACGTTTAAGTTGTTTTTCGAATTTTCATAAGAATAAATATTAGGGTAATTTTATTTAGACCCAACAGTACTCTTTCTACACCTAGCTACAAAAAACTTTTTATGTAATTCCTATATTACCCCTTATACAAAATAAAATAAGAAACTGAAAATTAAATATCTTCCTACACCCATTCAACCGAGATAAAACCCACATACATCGCCACCACTCAACCACCACTTCAGACCTCCCTCCCTCTTCCTTCTTCTACATATAGAAGTAGTTAGGCAGGATTGCTAAATCAAACATCGCCTTCAACAACCCGACCCAATACAAAATCCATTTGACTCCATTTTGGACTTCTGCAACAAGTCGCTTATGGAGTTGACGATGCCGCTTAGTTTTGCCTATTAACAGCAAGGCCCTATCATGCGCAATAGAAGAAAAATGGAAAGATTCACTGGACGTTTGGTGGAGTAGCCACCGTGAAGAATTGGTGGGTGTGGGAGAGGGTGGAGGGAACACACCGAGAATATCAGGAAAAAAAACAGTCGGGAAGGAGATAGACCCAACAAATATAGGGAGGAGAAGCCAGAAGGCGAGAGAACAGTTAGGAAATGGGTTTGATGAGTTTTTCTTTTTCCAGTTTATTTATGTTTATAATTTATGAGGGTAAACTAGAGAATTTAGGTAACAAAATATTAAAGTTGGGTTTAGAGAGAGGAAAACTGATCCAAATAAAATTTCTCTAAATATTAGAGTGAGAAGCCCATTTGAGCCTCCACTCATCTCCACTTTTCTGATTTTTGTTCCGATTAGAATTTCATAATCTAGTCCTTCCACCTTCCCCCATTTTCAAATCCCACAATCAAGCCTCATGCCGCATTCCAAAAATTTCATCCTCATACCCCATTCTCAAATTCGTGATAACCCAATTCCACCACTCAAACTCCAATTCCTTCTTTTGGTCTCCCATTTCTTTTTTCAAAATTTAAATAATTATTTTATTAGTAAAATGTTTTGAACAACTATTATATATGGCTAAACTAGACAAAATAGAAAATGAAGAAAATACTTATGCGAAGGAATTGAGTTGTAGATAGATGGTGAATAGAAAATCCTTTCAATATTTTTTTTTGGAACTTTAACGAAAAGCTCCTGGTACTGTTCACTTTAACAAAAAACCACATTTTTACACTACAAAGTCAATCCTGGTACTATTCACTTTACCCTTTATTTTGTTCTTATCGTTAAAACTCAAAGTTTTCAAACCATTTTTATTAGTTTTCCTTTTTTTATTGGGTCCTTAGATGTCATTTTATAAGAGTGTAAATTTGGCTTCAAACATTTTTTTTTTTGGATTCTTTGTTTCACCGAACTATCTCATACTGTACTAGGTTCAGGGACTAACCTAGATTGGTTTAGACTAGACTAAGCTGGATTAACTAATTAATGATGCGTTTGGAACTGTGTCAAGAAGCTGGACTAACAATAAATTATTATTATATTTTATTTTCTTTCCTATTAAAAATATCAAAATTAATATATGTGAAAAAAGAGCATAGCCCTCTTCTTCTTCATGATTGCTAGTGCTTCTCTGCAACTTGGAGAATTGCCGAATTTCCAATAACAAAAGCTTACCCCTATTCAAAGCTACGAGGATTTCCCAATAACAAAGAGAAAATTTTGATTATTACAAATAAAAACACCCAAGAAAAACCCTAAAAAGACTCAAATTGCTAGTGCTCTTCCTGTGCTTAGGTTACGATACTTGAAGATAGAGAATGACGACTCTATAAAGGCTGTCGTAGAAGAGCTGAGCTTGATAAGGCAGAGAAATCGCAAGATTGTAGAACCCATTCGGTTTGAGATTCGCAGCATCATAGGTGACCTCAGAGAGAAGCTTATCGATTAATTTTCCTACGAGCTTTGATCAAGTAGAGGGAGGGAGAGACAGAGATAAGGAAAGGCGAAGGAGGGAATATAAAGAGAGACAGAGAGAGATGAGGAAATGTGGAGGCAGCATAGTGAGGAAAGGTCCTTAGCAATCCCATGGTTCAACATGAGACTAGTTTGGACAATCTAACGAGGCCAGGAGTCCACACGAGTCCGGACTAGTCTCATTTAAGTTAGTCCTTGAGCATACCAAACATGGAATAATAATCTTAGCTAGTCAAATCCCACTTAAGAAGGTCAAACAAACATGCCCTTAAATTTGACTTAGGGGGTGTAGTCAATTTGGATTTCACAGGAATTTAAAAGACTTTTTAAAGTGACAAATTTCAAAAGATTGTAGAATCCTTACAACTTTCAAATGGATTTTAAGGATTCTTATGGATTTTGATTAGAGACTTGAAGGGATTCTTATGAACTTTGATTAAAGATTTGAAGGGATTTTGAGAGACTCTTGCCATTTTAAAATTGATTTTTAAATAAAAAATAAGATTAAACCTTGTTGATGCACAAAACCGGAGGGGTCTTGGAATAATGTAAATCCGATTGTGAATCTGCAAGAAAATAAATAATACAAGATGTATCGTGGTTCACCCCAAGGTTTGGGCTACGTCCACACTAATATTGTATTTCTCTGAGATGTTGAAGAGGTTAGAGAGAGCTTCTATGTGAAGATGAGAGCTCTGAGAGGGTGAAGGTATGGCCTAGGAATTGGCCTCTTCTAATGAAGAGAGTGATGGGTCCTTTTATAGAATAAGGGCTCCTCACTTATTACATATTTTCCCCTTCATTTATTACATAATTATATTTGAGTCCTCAGAGTATTTATACGAGATCTAAATACGGAGGCCCTAAGTATGGTACAAACAGTAGTCCCCCAAGTCTTCAGTCAAGAGAGTCTTTTGGCTGGAGACTTGAAATTCAGTCCATGTGTGGGCCGAAGTAACTAGATGTCGTTTTGAACTGATGCTCGATATGAGGCGGTGCTCAATCTGAAATGATGCTCAACTAGAAGTAGCACATGTTGCGAGGCTGCTCGGTTTATGGCTTATGTTGCTTTGGTTAGCTCGGCTTGTGGCGCTGAAGGTAAGGGAGTCCATTTTATAGAAAATGGCTCGCTCATCAATACATAAATGATGGGCTAGAGTTGATGCTCGCGGGAGGCGGTGATGCTCTCTAATAGTGAGGGAGTCCCTTTTATAGAACAAGAGCTCGCTCCTCAATACATAAGTGATGGGTTAGGAGTGCTGCTCGCGGCGAGACGATTGCTCAGTAGGCGACGATGCTCTCTAATGATGGTGAGGGAATCCTTTTTATAGAATAAGGGCTCGCTCCTCAATACATGAATAATGGGTGCTCTCTAATGAAAGTGAGAGAGTCCATTTTATAGAATAAGGTTTCGTTCCTCAATACATAAATAATTGGTTAAGTACCCTAAGTATTTTTTATGAGGCCCAGTTGCGAAAGCCTAATATATGATACATAGTGTAGTCCCCCAAGTCTTCAGTCAATAGAGTCTGTTGGCTGGAGATTTCAAATTGAATCCATGTATGGGCCGAAGTGGTAGTTGTTTGGAGGCGGTATTTGTATACCCTGCACTGAAGCTTTGTAGGTGAAGCTTTGCAAGTGAAGCTTTGAAGCTAGAGCTTTTGTAAATGAAGCTTTGAAGCTGGAGCTCTGTAAATGAAGCTTTTGAAGCTAGAGCTCTGTAAATAAAGCTTTCGAAGCTGGAGCTTTTGTAAATGAAGCTTTTGAAGCTAGAGCTCTGTAAATGAAGATTTTGAAGCTGATTGACATGAGTGATGCTTATAAATGTTTATGTTGATTGACATGAGTGATGCTCATAGATGTTGACATGAGTGATGATCATGAATGTTGACATGAGTGATGCATGAATTTTGACATGAATGATGGTCATGAATGTTTATGTATGATTGTCATGAGTGATGCTCATGAAATGTTTATGTATGATTGACATGAGTAATGCTCATGTATAATTTTGAAGTACTGGGCGTACTTTTGATCATCTGGTTGGTGATAATAGCGGCAGGCTGTCGAATAATTTTGGAGTACTGGGCGTACTTTTGATCACCTGGTTGGTGATAATACTGCCGAAGAATTTTGGAGTACTTGACGTAGTTTTGATCACCTGGTTAGTGATAATAGAGGGTCTAGCTCTTTTGGGCATATAGGCCTTCGCCCTCCACAAAACATTCCAGCCCATTATTTTAGGCTTTGCCGTTTGTTTTTTATTTTTTATTTTTTTTATTTTTATTTAATTACCCTCTGATGGGGTTTATACAGATGTATCTGAAAGATAAGAAAAATAAATTACATGTTTTCAGCATCTTAATGGCCATCTTCTGGTCCAACAGAAAGTAGAGACGAAGAAACTTGGTGGGCATCTTCTTGTCTTTAATCATGTTATCCTGTGGGATAGTGGAATAGTGGAAAAAGTGGAGCATCTTCTTTTCGGCTTTTCCTTTTCTGCTTTCTTTTACTTTTACTTTCTTTTTTCTGCTTTTGTTTCTTATGTGCTCCTGATGCCCCTTTTTCTTTTTCTTTTTCCTTTTGTAGATGGTAGATAAGGAAATCATGTGGAGTGTGTCTTTTCCCTTTCTATTTTTGTTTCTCATGTGCGCACATGACCCCTCCATGACTGCAC